AGCGGCCCTGTAAATATGGCCCACGTGTTCGCTAGTTATACAAATATATAATATATATATTAAGAAGTTTAATCACTAGTTTATTTTATTACTTCTATTTTATATTTCAAAACGTTAGCCGCTCCAGATATGGCATGAAACGTTTGAAACAAAGAAACTTACAGACTCAGCGATTGGTGTTTACTACAACAAAGAATAGCCCTGCACAACTTCGGATGTGCCACGAACCATGTATTAAACATTTCTCGAACAAACTGTACAAATTAGCAGTAAAATATAAGCTTTTTCCTTCTCGTAAAATCCGAGACACTCTCGGCCGAATGTGGCCTAGTGTTTAATGTGTTGGACTGCGTATCAAGAGGTTCAATGCTTGCCAAGCGATTCCGCTCAAAAAGCTTCACAATTTCAGTTTTGGGTACGTTATAAGAATGACAGTCAATACCATTAATCAATTCAAAGCCAGTCAAAGCCTTTGTGGTATCGGGTGTTGTTGACTAGCTGCCTTTCCTCCAGTAAAAGCTCAAAATACGTGACGGTTGTACCTGAACCTTAGGGTTGTACTAACCGTTTAGACCATGCGTGCATAAGGCGCTGTTCAAGTTCAAAAATACCAATACCCAAGACACACTCTCTAGGATTTTCAAAATCCTGTATCCAGTCGCCGTGTGTGTGTGATGATTATGAATTGATACAACAATATTATAAGTTGAAAGAAAAAAGGTGTTAGTGGAAACCTTAAAGTATTTTAAACACAAATCTTAATAATAACGTAGTGATAAATTTCCATATTATTTCTCTCTGCACTCTTTACCAAATTCTTCATATAATCTTTCTTTTTACCTTACTGCGTCTTTTCCACAATATTCCTTAACTTTAAGTGTTTAGTACTTCATCGTTGTAAAATTTCGTCGATTAGAAAGTTCGTTTAATTGTTTCAAGTGAGCTTGTATATACTGTACGTGAAATTAAATAACCACGACAAGCCTCATTTCTTTCTTGAATAAACGTAACACAGTTAGCTGTATCAATTTTTCATATGTCCATACAACTAATTGTGTTCCATTTATCGCATGAAGATATAAACCATGATAATAATGAAATTTGAAATGATAAAATACGAATATACAAGTGATTTGAAGGTGCAGAAGAGAGCCTTGACGATTGAATTTGGTTCACAATTTTTGCACAGAGTAACATAAAGGCAATCATTGGAGTGAAGGCAACCAGTCAGTAGCACCCACCGGCAGTTCTTGGGTTACTATTGTCTGACCAAATGGCTAAATTTCATTGTAACTTTTATAACGCATCCACGGCCCCAAAGTGCGGAGCGTGTTTCTGCGACAACGAATCGCAGACCATGAACCCTCGAATTCACAGTCCGAGCATGCTAATCCTTGGGTCACGCCCAGCTCAAATGTAGATTTAAGTTATCTGTTGTGACAACATATCTTTATGAATAACGTTAACCACAACAAAGTAAACAAACTTGTTGTTACAACAAAAATAAACTATCAAGTTACATTTCATTGCCAACAATAACCAACCATTTCATGATATCAACAGTCTTTCCTGACCGGAATAAATTACCTGATCACTGACACTAAAAAGGAATGTTCAGAAAACATCTATATATAGTTTTACTTGTTCTTGTTCAAACATTTTTTAATGAGAAATATTTTAGCAAAGATTATTTTACAGCATACTACCTATGCATATTGTTGAAAATACTAGGTTTGCGAGGTTGAATACGGAATGTAAAATTAATAAATATTCGCCCAATTAGAAATAATTTACTAAAATAATGTGGTTTACATTTGTATGAACTGATGAGTATTTTTTAATGTTTTTTTACATCATTTAATGGGTATTTTATTTAAGCTATCTCTTTCGTTATATTCACTATAAAGTTTAGTTATAAACTGCAAAAAAAAAAGATATTTCCATCAATGTTTCCCTCCACAGGTTTCAGTGATCTTTTTCTGATTACCCGTTTGTGCGATTGTTGAACTGATATATATAGTGAAAACAGTTTGTGTACATATGACTTGTGTCGCTTTTCCAGACAAAAATCCTTCTTAATTATGGTGCATACTGTTGTCTGGAACACGTGGCTGGTTTTTGTCATTAAGAATCGTGTTCGTGGATTCTCAGATTCTCACCTGTTACAGGACCCCGCACTTTGCTTACCATTATTGGGATACAACTTGTTGCGGATCCCTTTCTGGATGATCCTGGTGCCCCAAGTTGATCATTATTCCTTATTTCTCAATACCGTTAAGTGCAAGGAATCTCCAAGTCTTGGAAATCCCTAATCTCCGATCTGAAAACCTTTTTTCCAAAAAGCTATAAATTTTCAGTCTCATCATAAGATCTACGTAACGACAAAAAAATAGCAAAATGCAGTTCTCTTACATACCGTTACACAGTGATTTTATATTGTCTGGAGTTGTCACGTGACTTTCTGACTTGCATATTCAAAATCATTTTAATATTACAAAATTCAATTTACACGTTTAGGAAGAAAACAAATGAAGAGGAAATATTGCAAACCGTGGAAATGATAAACAATACACCTCTCTCAAACTCTCGCTATCGTATTTGTAGCTTAGTTCGGCATCTTATTCATTCCTAGAACCTGAGTGAAACTTTATCATTATCAGTGGCACAGGGGTAAATCTCAAGACATAGAACGCTAGAAATCGGGTTCGATACCCATGGTGGGCACAGCACAGATAACCCATTGTGTAGCTTTGTGCTTAACTACAAATAAACAAACTTATGCATAGAAGTAATGTTTTGCCTCAAGAAATAGTAAATATTCCAATACAAATAAAATGCTCTGCATTGTTATAAAATGTACAAACTGGTGAGACATTGAGATATTTAGGCCTCACAACAATCATTCAGCCAATTTGTCGCGTTTTGCTAAAAACTTGCAGTCAAATGTGACTATAACGTTTGTTAGGCATAAAAATGCAGTGTTATCATTAAAAAGAATATCACTTAATTTATGGTTCTTAAAAAAAAACTAGTTTTTCCTCTATTTTTATGAGGAACGTCGGGGATTGTTTATCACTAGTTTCTACGCAAATTCTACTTTTATACAGGATAGACGAATTGTCAGTTTAAACATTTCTGCTCTACTTGTACGCATATTTTGACCAGTACAAAGAAAAAAGTTTAAGCAACAGTGTTACTGTCGCAGAAGTGTGTAGTTGTGACAAGACGAGAACTTCACATTTGTATTCAGGTTAAAGTTCTTACTCGTGCCATGCTGTTAGGTTAACTTGCTAAGCTCGTAAACCCTTTGGATATAGTATAAAAAACGAGCGACACATTTGGCGTTAAATAATGTAGGTTCCGCCTATATTCTGAGAAACAATTTTCACGGAGTGCATTAACGTGTTTCTGCGAAAATTATCATATCTATTTGTTATAAAACTTGTGGCCTTTTATAGCAAATGTCAGTTCCAAGCTGTAATTACTAAAGTACCTTTAGACATTTGACCATACTGTAATAAAATTGTTTAAAACAGTCCTGAAATCTTACAAAAAAATCCCTTTGAAGTACACAATTTTTAGGTGCGTCAACAACACCTGTCATCAGAATTCACAAATGTTTGCGAGTTATGATGTAATTGAATTAATGGGATAATCAATCATCCGAAACTGATGCTACCAGAAACCAGAAGCTACCGCAAAGATAAACAATGGGCTATCTGTGGTGTGCCCACTACCTACTATCGAAACCCGTTTTTTGGGGGTTATAAGACTGCAGTTAGGAGTAAAGGTGTAGGCAGTCGAAGCTGCTAACTGGTTGTCTTCCCTTTGGTCAGCAGTGTTAAAGTCGCGACGATTAGGCCCGAACCTTTAGCCGTTTAGTTCACGTGTCGCATAAAGTGCTGTTCTGGTTGAAAATATTAAACAACCTCCGTCTATCTATCCAATAAATAGTAATAAGTAGTTAATAATAAAATGGATAAATAACGGTATTATAGAAAACAGTTATCGTTGTATTAGCCTCACTGTGAAACAAAATATTTAGAAAATGGCCAACCTTCGTGTATTTACTCTCAAGTGAGTCCTCCTGCGAACTCTAGTACATTCTACCAAAAGCCTTGGAAAAATACGACTTTAATCTGGTGCCGTGTGAGTTCAGTGTGAATTGCCTTGTAAGTTAAGTTACTCGGGCATTCATTGAAAATGTTCAACTCTGTACTAATTTTCATAAATAGTTTTAACTGCATAAAGCAAAGGAAGCCAAAAATTTTCAAACCTTTGCTAAGATATTTATTCAATCTATACAGGCCTATCCCAGAATTCGAGCAGAAAACATTCCTCTGAGAACAGTGACTGTAAAATAAAGTTGAAAAACTTAAACATTTACCTGTTCTCTTGGGCTATTCGGTGATTGGCCGGTCTTGGAGTCGTAAAGAGCCCGATGGAAAGGCATATATCTTCCTCCTTGACATTCCTTGTCGTACATGTCGTCACACTTATCGATCTTAATCTTGTGAAACTCGATCGGACAACCTGGTTCACCAGCCATCAAAATTTCCGAAGAGACGACTTGACCTATGGTTAAATTTAATCAGTTTGAGAAAAGTCAAAAGCATTTTTACATATGACAAAGATCTTTTTATGTCATTTTTTAGATTGCTTTTTAAACAGTTGTGTGATTATTCAATTCTTAATATATCACAATACAACTTATCTCAACCATTCATAAACCATCCTACACATCTACTGTGTTCATATCATTCTCCATTAAGTGGATGTTACGGTTTCTTGATTAATTGAAATAATAATGTTAAGTCTCTTAAGTTACTTTCGTTTAGCTTTGCGTGAAATTCAAACCAAATCAAACTTAAGTTACCATACACTTAGTAATATTATATACTAACAGAGACTCGTAAAACATTTGTGGCCAAAGTAGTATCTATATTGCAACAGTACTTCTTTAAATACAGGATTTCTAGAGTAATACAAAATATTTCTAATCGCAGATACTGAAATTTATAAGTCCACTAGTCTTAGCCCTAACATTAGTTAAGCCTTTATTAAGTACGGCCTATATTCGATAAAAAGATAAATTAACACTGTAACTTGTGTACGTTTTTTGCTTTAATTCAATTTGAGCTAAACCTTACCGCACTTAATACTATCAATAAATAATCTTCTAATATTGTTGTACGACTTAACGTTAGACCTTTTGAAAAACTTTGATAAGCTTTTAATATGTTGTATAAAATGTCTACTAAAGTATATTTACGCCCTTTCTGGCGTAACTCGACGATTTAACAAAGATACGTTTTCAAATTCCGAAAAAGATGGAATTTTTTAAAGTCCAAATATATCTTTAATTTTCGATCAATCGTAGACTACTCGCTTCTATTTGCAGGAAGCCAAACTACTTAAATTAGGTAATAAGTTGTTATGACATCATTGCGTGACCGAGAGACAGACAGGCAGATACCTTGTTTTATAGTATTAGATGTTAGCTTCGTAGCTTCTCGCTTTTCTTCACTGACTGAACATATTTACTAATAAAATTACATTTACAATATATATATAAGGTTATCCGAAAAGTTCGTGGCCCGATCTAAATAAAACTGAAATGTGCTATTTTTTCTGATAAATATTAAGTTTGAACCTATCCATGTGTAAACAACACATAACATACAACCTATTGAGCTTATTTTTTTTTTGCGGATTTTCGAAAGAAGTGAGCAGTGTTAAACTTCATGAAGATGATCGTGCCGTGATCAAATATTTTGCTAAATAACTGACACCGCAAGAAATACATCAAGATATGGAAACAACATTGGGAGAAGGTGCTCCGGCATACTGATCATGTGAAGATAATCCGAAGTCAGGTCGGAACTCGACATCGACCAAAACAAAAACTGTTGGTAAAATTCATGATCTGGTTATATACGATAGAAGAATTACTTTGGGAAATTGGAATCGTTAAAAGTACTGTAACAAGCATTTTAAGTGAAAGTTTTGGCATGAGTAAAGTTAGTGCCAGATGAGTTCCAAAGATGTTGTCATCTGAGCAGAAACTAATCCGAGTTGTTGAAAGCCAACACCTATTCCAAAGATTTCAATAGAATCGCAACTATGAATGAAACATAGTTGCACCACTTCGACCCAGAGACAAAAATCCAAAGTTTGCAATGGAAATACCCAAGTTCACCCCCCTCCCAAATAAATTCAAGTTACAACACTCTTGGCGGTACCAAGGGTGTTTTAGTAGTTAATTATTTGGAAAGGGGGCAAACCATTACAGGAAATTACTATACATCTTTAATCAGCAATATTCGTCAATAAATCGAAGCAAGAGCATAAGATTGCTAAAAAAAAAAGGTGTGCTCTTCCATCAATACAATGCCACTACTCAAAAATTGCCTGTTGCTTTGAGCACTATCCATGATGCTGGCTTCGGATTATTCAATAACCCCCTTTTTCATCGGATTTAGTTCTAAGTGACTTTTTTCCCCTAACCTTAAAATCCTTCTGAAAGGTCGAAGATTTCAGAGTGAATATAATCTCGTACATACCATCCAATAATGGATTGAGAACCAAAAATAAGAGTTCTTTCAGAAGGGTATATAGGACTTAGAGCGCTGCTGGTGTAAGTGTATAGACTCAGGAGGAGATTATGTTGAAAAATATATCATATTTGAAACAGTGTCTCTTTTCTTTATAGTTCGGGCCACGAATCTTTCGGACACCCCTCATATTGCAAACACACAAAACAATTTACATATCCTTTCCCGTTTAAATCAAATACATACTATACTCCAGGATTTCCTCTCTCTCTCCCCGTTTCGGTGATAAGACCCGTACGCGGAAATACTAACTTTTCGTGAATTTTGAAACTGAAAACAAATAAAAGCCGTTTATATGCGTTTCTTATATAATTTATGTTTTAGATTAGAAATATTTGTAACTTTAAAATTGCAACCCCCCCAGTGGCAAAGAGGTATGTCTGCGGTCTTATACCGCTAGAAACCGGGTTTCGATACCTGTGGTGGATAGAGCACAGATAGCCCATTGTGTAGTTTTGTGCTTAACTACAAACAAACAAAAATTTTTAAATTATGTTTTATATCTTAAAAAGCACATAATTTTAAGTTTACAGTGATTCTGTGCATCATCATCATTTTGTATTTCGAACGTGAAGTAAGATATTTCATAACGTTTATTTTGAATTCTGGCCTCTTGAATAGTCATGATAAAGTTCGCACCGTTGTTGTCGTTTTCTATCAACTATAAGACCCCCAACTACTCAGCAGAAAACTTAGGAGCTTATGACACTAAAATTCGTGATGAATGCGAAACAGATAGCCCTTTGTGAAGTTTTGGGCTTAAAAACAATAAACCCCCGAACCTGGCCCGGCATGACCAGGTGGTTAGGGCGCTCGACTCGCAATCTGCGGGTCGCGGGTTCGAATCCCCGTCCCACCATACATGCACGCTCTTTCAGCCGTGGGGGCATTATAATGTGACGGTTAATCTTACTATTCGTTGGTAAAAGAGTAGCCCAAGAGTTGGGGAGGGGGGGGTGATGATGACTAGCTGCCTTGCCTCTAGTCTTTCACTGCTAAATTAGGGACGCCTAGCACAGATAGCCCTCGTGTAGCTTTGCGTGAAATTCTTAACAAACAACCAAACAAACCCCAAAATATTGATAATGAATATTACGATATAACTATTTCATTGTTTATTAACTATCAGGGACGGAGCCATCTTTACACAAAATCGCAGATGGTTACATACTCATTTCATTTTTTTAAACTATAAATCAATATGGGCTGTAATTCGCCACGGATAATTTTGAAACAAAAATGTGAAAAAAAGAATAACACAATGAAACTATACACTGCCCTGTAAACTGCGTGCGACATTCTGAATGTAGGTTTTTCCCGCTCGAAAAAAGGACCCTCAAGATCTCATTTTGGTTGTACTTAGTTAAAGGCCCAGCTACGTCCCTGTCTATCCCCTTTCTTTCTTTTTTCAACAATAACTCTAAATTAGATGTACATCAAAATGTCCATGAAGGCCAATCACGAGCTTCTTCCAAAATATATTGATTATCATAATTCAAAAGTCAATGCCAATCGAAATATGTATGAAGTATTATTCAGACAGAACCTTGATAATTGAATTTCCTCCAGTGAAAAATCATATTAGTTTGTTGACCGTACGTCCATGCCAATGTCCAGTTTGTTGACCGTACATCCCTGCCTAAATAATTCATTAGAAATGTGATCTGTGTAAAATTTTAAGGCTAAGATGGAATGAATAAACAAATGAAGTAAATTTTGTTTGCTCGCATCTCTTACCGAAAAAAGAAAACAAAGCTGTTAGATTGCGCTCAGATGGAATACCATCATCACCCTTGAACACCGACTGGCTGACCGCTCGAGGACTAGGTCTATCTCTGCCGGCTATCATATACACTCCGTCAGAGTAAGAAGGCGGCGTTTTGCGGACAAGTTGACTCTCTAAAAAAAAGAAGAAAAAATAAGAGATGATTTAATAAACACTCTTCTCTCTCTGTTTTTTTATAATCATTTAAGCAACACATTTGAAACTTAATAGACATTGAATATCGAACATTGACGTTCATTAGTAGTCCAAAGGTTTAGATTAGAAAACGAATAATAGTTTTAATGTAATATGATGAATTTATAAAATTTTATCTATTAAAGATGAACAACGCATTAAAGTATAAGTTGTGTAGGTAAGACGGGATGTGAAAAAGAAGTAATAAGTAATTCCTAGAACGAGAATAACAAAAACTTGAATGCTTGATTAGCACGAAAATCTAGGGGCAGAAATGTTGTCTACTGTTGACTCTGTATTTGGATCAAAGTTGTTAGTGCAAAACGTTGGTTTCTATATAGCAATGTGTCTGAATATCCTATCCAACAGATAAATCAATATTATCAATAAAACTAAATCAATGTAGTCTCGTATTTCCAGTAAATATCAGCCATAAGAAATTTGCAATAACCACATTCCGTATCTCTATCCTAGACATTCTATATACAAATATT